TATATCTATATATATATTTCTCTTACACGGCGACAAAAAAAAGCCTCATTACAACTCCCCGAATGGCAACGCTAGAAAATCGACCAATGATTGCCGCTAAAAATGTCACATGCCAAGTCTAGATGAGGTGGCTCAACATATAGCGCTTTTAAAAACGGAAACTGAAATAACCAGAGACAGCATTAGCTAGGCAGAAGTGAGTAGTCTTTGTCGATAGATCTCTATTTTAGCATTTTGTCGAAAGCGCTTTTTTTTCACGAATTTATTACGAATTTATTATATTACGAATTTATTTGACGATTTTCGATTTATATCACGAATTTATTTGTTTTACTAGAATTTATTTGTTTATTTATATTACTAGAATTTATTTGTTTTCCATTGCAATTCACTTATTTCAATTTTTAATAGACTTAATTACAGCCAAAATTTTAACCTTAAATTTTATACTATAGCACATTTCTAATAGGTCTAGCGAATTACATGTCATTTATTTGAATTCAAATTTATTTTAATGATTTAATATTTACTAAAAAGATGTAATTTTTTTCTAAAAAAAATTAGTATATGGCTTTGAATGATTTTTTTGAATTCTTAGAATTTTGTGCGTTTGCAATGTACCTAAGTTAGTAACGAGCGAAGCGAGGTTGGTTTGCGAAGCAAACCATATAAGATTGCGTAGCAATTTTTGGGAGTTGGTGAGCGTAAGCGAGCAGGGGGTCCAGCCCGCTAGTATTTATTTAATTGCAGTGATTCAGGGATTTTACTGTAATCATTATGGCAAAAATTACGATATATCAGATTTTTTGTTCCATAAAATTTTACGGTAAAAAGGGATTTCACGAAGAAAAGCACCGGCACTTGGGATGCCAGTAGTTTTTACCACAATTAGATCCGTAATTTCTTTCAATTTACCTTTGCTATTTCAATTATGGGTTGCTATGTCATTCATAATCCGTATGATGTAACCTACCTCATTTAAAAGTTTATTGCAAATTATTGAGTCACTCTTGTGTATAATACGCTTCAATGCACTCCGAAGCTTTATTAACGAGTATGGTAAAAAAAAAAAGGAGAAAAACGTACCTAAATAAACAATTTAAAAGAGAAACTCAAAATTTTTTGATATTTCACTAAATGTCAATTTCTAAAGAAATTGCTTAGCATTTTATTAGCTGCTATAAGCACTGTGGTTCACCTCTTCAAGATTGAATACAGTTCCATTACTAATTGAATTCCATTCGAAGAGAAACTAAAATTTATTTTATTTTATAACCAGCGATGAATAGCCGACCAAATCTGAGTTAAAAATCATCAAGGTTCAACTCCGTAACCGTGAAGTTTTGAATCCAATACGGATGACAAGGGGACTCCTGGATCAAGAATTGGAAGAAATTCGTATGAATGAATATATTTGAACTTTTTGATAGAACTAACCTGCATTTGCTTTACATAAGGAGAAAAACCACAAAATTACCTCTCGGTCAGCCTAACGGCAAAGGGACTTTAACTCATGATCCGTCTACCACTGAGAATTTTTAAATTCAGCACTAAGGTCGGTGCGAGCCGGTTACGAAATTCGCTTCAGCTAGCAATCGCTGTGGTTCGAACACGGGTCACCTCACTAGGAGGGGAGTGCTCTATCCCTTGAGCCACCACGACTCAGCTACAAAGTAGCATTACATTTTAAATGCACACATTTAGATGTAAAATTTTGAACCGACTGATTTTTAAAGCCTATGTTTCTTTCTAGAACTAGACAACTTTTTTCTAATTATTCAAATATAAATTTTATTCTTATGTTATATGTTGTTAGTTTAAGGAGTAAAAAAACCTGTTACTGCATCTATCATACGATTAAAAGTTATAATTTGCTCATTATTTGTAAATTATTTATTAGTTTTTGAATACTTTTGTATGTTTAATAGGTTTGGATTGATGCTGCAACACAGATTTTCTTTTCCCTCGGCCCTGGATTTGGAACGCTTTTAGCTTTATCGAGCTATAATAAATTTCACAATAATTGTTACAGGTAATGTGGCGTCTCTTTTAAATAACAGTTTCTTTATGCAGTTTAAAATAGTTATTAATTAATTTTTTGAGCAAAATTCTAAGTTGAAAAATGTTTGAAATAGTGTTTATCAAACACTCCTCACTTCATAAAAACAAGTAAAAAGAAAAAAATATACATAAAGGTTTATTCTATTTATAAAGAAGTTTATTCGATGGCGGTATCAATAGTGTTTTAAGCAGTGTTGCTCAATGAGAACGATTGGCATTCAAAACCAATAAGGACAAACAGTATTGGAAAGTTAATTGAATATTGGTAGCCTTAATACAAGGAGAAAAATATTGTGGTAAAATTGCCGCAATGTATGGTAATGACATTTCTGTTTAAAAAAAAATTTAACATAATCCTTTCTCATTAATTGGGTTTGATTCAGATAATTAAATTCCATTGGCAAATAATTAAATTCCATTCGTTAATGGCTTCCCAATACTCTTTAAAATTTTATCAGAATACTTGAGGGGATGATTTGTTTTTACAAGTTATAAAACCGCATATTTCAAAAGCTTATACAATTACAAGATTAAGTTTTGGTAAGGATATTTAATTTTGTTAAAAACAGCTCTTAAAACCACAAATGGTAAAAAAAATTTTGAAACCTATTCGCGTTTTGGTGTCACAATTGTACAAATTTATTTGTCTTAAGTTTGCATCATTCTGACGCCGAAATGCGTATAGGTTTTAATTGAAATTTTATCTATTGGGGTTTTAAATGTAGTTTTTAATGAAATTCAATAATTTAAGTTATTAAAAAATAATTAATCTGTAAAATCTGCAAGAGGTCCTTCCTAGAAATATAGTGCTTTAGAGGAATCTGCATAAAGATGATAAATTTAAATCATTGGAACCAATGAAGTTTTCCTTATCAGTAATACTTTTAAACAATCTATCTTTTACATTAAAAAAAATCTTTTGCAGCGAAAAAGGCTCCATATAATTACCCAGAATGAGACGAATTAAAGACAATAATTGGAAACCAATCGGCCGGAGTCAAGTTTCATCTCGGAAAATTCATGACCTAATATGTCTTTGTTAATTAAAAAAAAAAGGCGTTAGAGCTCTATCAGGATGTTCTATCCAATCTACTATATTCACCAGACAACGTGTTTTCAAATTTCTAACTAATCCTATCCTTACGAATTTAGCTTTTAGGAAAATTTCGACGAGATGAAAACTTGTCCATAAAAGTTTTTCACCTGAAAATTTGAGGAGAACAAATTTTTCAGGTCGAATAGAAGCTGAATGGAAATTTACTTCTATTATTTTATAAATATACACTGAAATTGGAAATTGTTACTTTTCCATTTTATTTCAAAACTCAATTTAAGAAACGAACTTTTCGCGAAATTTTAAACAGCATTATCCAATATTTATACAGCATTACAAATGCCATTATCGCGTTTTTTTTTAAAAGTTAGATTACATTCTGATTGCTTAAATAATTTGCAGGGTCTTTTATTAAATTTTATTTATAGTATTTTTTACGTAGTTGGTTAATTTTATTGCTTTTTTTTTGTAGAGATGCAATATTTACCAGTACAGTAAACTGCCTGACAAGTTTCCTGGCTGGGTTTGTCATCTTCTCCGTTTTAGGTTATATGGCCCACATGTTAAAGAAAGACATTGAAACAGTCGCTACGGATGGTATAGATTTCAGTTTATTTCTCTAAATAACAATAAAAACAATCGTTTAAAAATGTTTTTAATTGTTGTCGGTACATCCTATCAACTAGAAAACTATATCATATAGTTTCTTCATTTAAAAAAATAGATCTAGATTTATTTGGTTGACATCAGCATAAATTTAATGAAAGTTATTCTCCATCTATCCTAAAAAAATAAACAAACCTTATAAACTAATGCAAAGAGCTCGTCGCTTTCTTCTTCTATCTACAATCCAAAAAAAACCCTACCAGAAGTCTTGAGGTCTTCATCTAACGTGACTATTTCTTTTTTCGTAGTTCCGCGTTTTTTGCATAGTTGCTCTGAATTCAATTTGAAAAGAAAATTGTTCTTCATATTTTAAAATATCAGATGAAGATATGAAAAAAAAGTAGTTTTAGAAATTATAACATATAGATTTGCAATTATTTGGTCTTTGAGATATGAATTTACCCAATTTAGTTTACAACATGAAACACGGTCGGGAATAAGATGAATAAAGCTATTTTTTTACCTATAAAACATTTGTTTATCCCTAATTTAGCAATAATATCCGCAATATTTATATCATTAATCATTCTTAGTTTCTTAGTATTATTCTCATCGCAATCACTACCCATACTAAGAATTATAAATATTGAATTAAATATAGATATAAAGAAACAGAAAATTACTTTTAAAATTAATCATCAACACAACAGGAATAAGTTTATAATTAATGACGAGAAGTATTTTATGTCATTTTTTCTTCCTATTCGATTCAAATTTCATTAATTCTGCTAATATACATTGCAGTAAAGTGTTTTTAAAAAAGTGTTGAATTCAAATTTATGACGAAATTAATTACCTATTAATTTTATAGGACCTGGCCTAGTGTTTGTTGTGTACCCAGAAGCTGTGGCCACTATGAAAGGTTCTGTCTTTTGGAGTATTCTTTTCTTCTTAATGCTCATCACCTTGGGATTAGATAGCACGGTACGCATCAGTATATATATATTTCAAAACTATAAAAAGAATATTAATTGTAGAAAGAGTTAATGCCTGGAGGGTCTTTTTAATTTATTAAGACTTTTCAAGATGGTATTTATCCTAATATTTGAACTTTTTTGGGAGCTTTTAAAATATTACATAAGCATACGGGCGTTGGGGTTTACATATATTTGTTCTGACAGGGTTCGAATTTTTTTTAAATCATAACCTTATTCTGTTAAAAATATGCTAAAAATGTAATTTTATTTGAAAAAAATTAACTTAAAAATTCAACTATTTTTTTATTCTACTTAATTTCAAATGTTTAAAAAATAAATAAACTGAAAAGCAAAATTGGTGGAGGTCTACGTTTTTTGGTGATTTTATGCTTCCTCCCCGATAATGAAAAAGCATCTAATTATTATTATTTCTTGGTCATCATGTTCAGATAATAATACAGTAAAATTTGGGGTAAACGTGAAAATATTTTAAAAAACAATTACTAATACTTATTATGTTCTATATGCAACGTAGTTTTCATTTTAAAATTATTAAAAAGTTAAACCAATAAAAATAGCATAATATATATTTTGCATAATACGCTGTGGTAGTACATTCATTTCAAAAACACATCCTGAAGTTGAAGCTTCTTATCGTAATTTAAACGTGCGGTAAATTTGATGTGGCCACTTTAAAAGATGGCAGAAAAAGTCAGATTGTCATTTCGATAAAAATTAAATTAAAGCAAGTGCTGAGTTTTTTAGTTGGCTTTATCGACCGGCTAAATAAAATAGTGAAAGCTTTTTAAGAAATCTGAAAGCAAAAGATATATATTTTAAAAAATCTTCATAATGCGTCCTTTTTTATATTATAATTAAAATGTTTTTTCAAAAAGAAGAAGAAAAAAAAACTAATTTCAAAAAACAATAATATGTATTAATTATTATGTATGAAGAGCAAATAGTCGAAATTAAATTAGTACTCTAATAATGAGTAGTATCAGTNGCTTGCGATCTCCGAGATCTGTGGACACAGTGACGTCATGAGGAGGGAAATCGTAGCTTCAGCTCTAAGAGCGGAGTGAACTAGCCCTTGTATTTTCTTTAGCCCTGATGTCATTTAGTTTCTTAATTAAAAAATATATATCTAGATCTATTCGGTTGCCAACAGCATAAAATTAAAGAAAGTTATTCACCATCTATCCTTAAAAAAAATCCTACTGGAAGTGTTGAGGTCCTCATCTGACATCATAACATTGACATGACTATTTCTTTTTCTTTTTTTTCTCACGTGCCGCGTTTGTTTGTATATATACTCGGAATACTCAGTTGTGCTAAATTTAATTTTTGTGTCGTGTTTTTACAAGAAAATTTGTTCTTCATATTTTAAAAGCACTTTGGGAAATTATAATATATAGATTTGCAAATACCTGATGAAATGGTGGCAAATTCTTTACAGTGTAGTTTGGATTCAACTTTTTAAAATATAAAATTTAAAATATTTTTCCTCAAATATTAAAAATTTTTCAAAAAGATTAGATTTGCAACCAAATAAAAGTGTTTAACAGTGTTTCTTATATTGAAGAAATGTTATGCTTCCTATTTATATTAATAGATATTTTGTTGAGATTATATAAAAACTATGATAGACTTTGCTTTTATGATATTAAAAATATTTTTCCGCAGGATAAATGGTCCTTTTGTACTTAGTCTTATGCCTGTTCAAACTGAGATTTGCAATCAACTGCCGAATTTTAAAAATAGGACCTGGTATAATTCTTTAGATGAGCTGTAAAAAATTCCGGATCAAATTACTGTGGAAAGTGACTGGTCCTGGAATGCTGGTACTTTTTACCGCAAAATCCATTATGACCATAAAATTTTGCGGTACAAAAACTCGATAAGCTTTAATTTTTATATTTAACGTAAAATCGCTGAGTCACTGTAATTAAGTAAATATTACTAAAAATATTACAGAATAAAATTTTATGTTAAAAATGGATTTTACGGATACTGCACTCAGGGTTTCTTAATTTGATCCTGAATTTTTCATGGTGCAGTTGGCCAGTGTCGAAACGGCATCGATTTCGAAGTTCTTTAAGATTTTTTTTTTTTTTTTTGGTTTTCATTCGCTTTTCTTTTATTACTTTAATATTTATCAAGTTAGCAATTGTAAATACATTCAGTGTTTTAAGTAATGAATAATTTTTTTGTTTTAAATATAGATAAGGAAACAAAAAATTACTTTTTTAAACTCTTCCTAATTAATCAGCAACACAACAAAAGGAATAAGTTATAGTTAATGACGAGAAGTATTTTATGTCATTTTTTTCATTCTGCTAGATTCAAATTGAGTTAATTCTGCTAATATACAATGCAGTAAAGTGTTTTTAAAAAATTGTTGAATTTTAAATTTTTGACGAAATTAATTACCTATTAATTTTATAGGACCTGGCTTAGTGTTTGTTGTGTACCCAGAAGCTGTGGCCACTATGAAAGGTTCTGTCTTTTGGAGTATTCTTTTCTTCTTAATGCTCATCACCTTGGGATTAGATAGCACGGTACGAATCAGTATACATATTTTTCAAAACTGTAATCATTAATTATTGTAATAGGAATGTAAATTGTAGAAAGAGTTAATGTCTGGAGGGCCTTGCTATTTCATTAAGACTTCTCAAAATGGTATTTATCCTAATATTTGAACTTTTTCGGGAGCTTTTAAAATATTACATAAGCATATGGGCCTTGGGGTTTACATATTTTTGTTCTGCGAGGGTTCGAATTTTTTTTAAATCATAACCTTATTCCGTTAAAAGTATGCTAAAAATGTAATTTTATTTGAAAAAAAAACTAACTTAAAAAAAAACTAACTTAAAAAGTCAACTATTTTTTTATTCTACTTAATTTTAAATGTTTAAAAAATAAATGAAATGAAATAAAATCAAAATAAAAAGCAAATTTGGTGGAGGTCTACGTTTTTTGGTGATTTTATGCTTCCCCGATAATGGAAAAGTATCTTATTATTATTATTTCTTGGTCATCAAGTTTAGATAGTAATACAATAAAATTTGGGGTAAACATGAGAATATTTTAATAGTTTTTAATCAATACTCAAAAACATTACAATTCTAATATTTTTTTCTCGAAATTGTTTGAATAGAAATTTAACTTAAAAAATATATTTGAAAAAATGTAATGTGCTTCAATATAATAACTTATAAAAAATTCTAATACAATTAAAACAATTACTAATACTTATTATATTCTATATGTAATGTAATTTTAATTTTAAAAATATTAAAAATTTAAGTCAATAAAAATAGCATAATATATATTTTGCATAAAACGCTGTGGTAGTACATTCATTTCAAAAACACATCCTGAAGTTGAAGCTTCTTATCGTAATTTAAACGTGCGGTATATTTGATGTGGCCACTTTAAAAGATGGCAGAAAAAGTCAGATTGTCATTTCGATAAAAATTAAATTAAAGCATGTGCTGAGTTTTTTAGTTGGCTTTATCGATCGGCCAAATAAAATAGTGAAAGCTTTTTAAGAAATCTGAAAACAAAAGATATATATTTAAAAAAATCTTCATAATGCATTCTTTTTTATATCATAATTAAAATGTTATTTCAAAAAAAAGAAGAAAAGACTAATTTCGAAAACAATAATAAGTACTAATTATTATGTATGAAGAGCAAATAGTTGAAATTAAATTAGTAGTATATAGTGAGTAGTATCAGTGTTAGTTTATTATGATTGTAGTCAAAAGATATATTTTAAATATTCCTCATCGTTCTTTTTAATTATATGTCTGCATTGTTAAGTATGTAACATAAAACATACATAAAAATAACTATCGATAATTTTATCTGCTTTAAGAACAATCAATGCATTTGAAAAACTAAGCTTTATTTATTCGAAAGTGATTTTATGTTTTATTTATTGATTACAATGAGAAACAATTTTTTTTTAATTTTCTGTTGCATGAGATTTTTTAATAGATTTTAGATACTTTCATACCTCTGAGGGCTAATGATGACAATCGCTGCTGACATCAGTTTCTCTCTCCAAGCTACCGTGTTTTTTCGAAGAAATTTGTTTTGTGTATTCTCTGTCGAACAAGTGTAAAAACTTTATATGTAAAAAGGGGTTGCGTAATCGTTGCGACAAGTTTCTAAGAAAGTTAGGGAACATCATCGAAATAAAACTACATAGGAATCAATGCCCAAAAGTGTACTCATATTCCGCTTTGGAGCTTTTCTACTAAGAACTGTTCTTCTAATAAGAAAGCATCCCTAGCCGCGTACGTGCATGGGTTTTTACGCAATTTTAATCCTGATGATGTGCCCTTCTTCCCCAAAAAATTTGTCGCAACATTTACATGACCTTCTGATATATATAACGTTTCTAACATGCACATTTTGACAAAAAATGGACTAAAACTGTCATTTTAAAAATCTGTGGTTTAAGGAGCAAAACTAATTTCAGATTTGAAATCCTTGCACTTATTATTAACTATATAGTACAGTATTACGCAACATATCGCGTATATAATTTAGTGTGATAACTATAGCCCATTAAATCTTGAAATTATTTAGCGAAACTGAGCTAACTGAATACTGAATAAAGATTGATTTAAAAAATTGGGGGGTTTTCAATAGAAAAATGGTGCTATTCAGAATACTTTTTAATATTTTTCGTAGTTTTAAAATATTATATAGTTGTGAAAATGGAACAAATGCGTAGACATTCTTAAAAAGGGAATTCAATTGTGCTAAATTATTCGTTTTGATAACAATATGATCTTTTCAAAACATTTCTTAGTTGGAAGAAATGAAAAAAAAGGTTGACATTCTTAGAAAGAAACTTGGAACAAGCAAAAATGGTTCTGAAGCAGCAAAATTGTTTGCATTATTAGCAAAATAATAATGCAAACGATTTCTGTGTTTTAAATACATTACACATATTATATGATAAAATACATATTTATAATATGAAATACAAATGAAATATATTGCATCTTATAGTTAAGAAAGAGTGAAAAAATGACTAGACATTCATACACTGAGAAAAAAGTATGGTCAAAATTTCAAGAATATGATTCAATTTATCGATATTCATTCGGTTATATGATCTACTTCCCAGTTTTGTATTTTTTACTAAATGTGTGGAAATGAGAACTATAATTTTGAAAATAAAAATGTCCGGTAGAACGTTACCATAGGAACGGAAGAATATATATATGTACACCGAAGAACCATTACAATATGACCACCCTGCTAATAACATGTAGGACCACCTTTAGCCCTCAAAACTACTGCTAGCACCCGCCGTGGCATTGATTCCACAAGGTGCTGATAGGTAGTCTGAGGTATCTGGTACCAAGCGCTCACCAACTGGTCCTGCAATTCCCTCACATTGCGAGGGGGTAGCGTGGCAGCACGAATTTGGTTTTCCGAGTAGGACCACAAATGCTCTATTGGATTAAGGTCAGGTGAATTTGGGGCTAAGACATGACTTGAAAGCCATTGGAATGTTCTTCGCCGATTCGACCCTTATGTCATGGTGCATTATCCTGTTGGTAAACACCATCCCCCGCAGGAAAAACTATTGCCATGAATGGGTGAACCTGATCTGCAACTATGTTCACGTAGCTTACAGACGTCAGGGATTGTTCTATGAGGATTACGGGTCCTAGTGTGTCCCATGAAAACATTGTTCCTGGGCGAGAAACCATGAAAACCTGGGCGAGCCCACTGGTATAGATGGAGGGTGGTCATAATGTAATGGCTCTTCGGTGTAT